ATGCGAACCAATGCCAGTCAATGCCAAGCAACGTACAGCTATGCGAAGCAACGCAATGCAAAGCAATGCAAACCAAGGCAAAGCAACGCACAGCAATGCAGCGCAACGCAATGCAAAGCAATGCAAAGCAATGCAAAACAATGCAAAACAACGCAAAGCGATACAACATGACAGCAACGCAACGCAATTCAAATCAAGGCAAAACGATACAACGCACTGCAAGTCAGTTCAAACCAGTGCACGCCATTGCAAAAAGAAATGCGAGGCAAGGCGAAGCAACGCGACGCAGTGCAACGCCAGGACGGCGATGCGAAGCAGGGCGAAGCAATGTATAGCAACGCAAAGCCTCGCCATCGCTCGGACGTCCATTCCCTGTTTTTTTTGCGGTTTCGTGCGTGGTTTTTTCGCCAAATGATCAAGGATGCTCCTCGAGGGTCCTCGCCGAAGGAAAAATGCACACGTCCGAGCGATGCCAAGAACCAGCGCAATGCAGGCCAAGGCGACCAGCAGCGGCGGCGGCGGCGGGCAGCGACGAAGCCCCGTCACCCGCGGCGGCGGCGGCGGCGGCGGGCGGCGACGAGCTGGCTGGCGCGATGCTGGAGCCCAGCTGGCGGCGGCGACGGGCGGCGGCGGCGGGCGGCGACGAGCCGGGCGGGGCGCCACTGGAGCGCAGCTATCTTAGAGAAGGCAGGCAGTAACCCCTACAGTCGGGGCGTTGACCTAAGGAACCCTAAATAAGGAACGAGGCCCCTTTTTTCATGAGCTAGCCTTCGACTTCCCATCGAAATCTTAAGGAAAACCTTGGGCAAGGTGTGGAACAATTAAGGAACACCGAGCCCCTCCCCAACGAAAAAGGGTTCCTTCTTCAGGACCCCTACTGTAAGTGCAAGCGCCGTGTGGGCAACCTGGAAACATCAAGGATGTCTGCTGTCTCCCTGCAGTCGGGGCCTTGACCCAAGGAGCCCTGAATAAGGAACGGGGCCCCTTTCTCATATGAGTTCAACCTCGGTTTCCGACGGAAAACCGCAGGAAAACCCGAGGCAAACTGTGAAGCAATCGAGGAGCACCGAGCCCCTCCCCAACGAAAAGGGATCCTTCTTCAGCGCCCCGACTGTAGCCCCTAAGTGCATCACCGTGTGGGCAACCTGGAAAAATCAGTGATGTCTGCTGTCTCCCTGGGTCGCTTCCGAGGTGCACTCGGGGCCTCTGGGTGGCTCCAAGGTGGCCCTCAGGGTAGCGCGCGCGGCCGACGCGCGCGAGTTGCCCGCGTGGCATCATTGGGCGCGGATCGCGCCATCCCCCCAGCGCGCGCGGAAGGGCGTTCGAATGGGTTCGACGCGCGGCGCGAGAAGCTCTTTTTGGCAGAATTGCATGAACACGCGGGAACAAACTATGGTTTCTGAAGAACCCACAAGACCGCGAGCGCAGGCCGCGTGGGGAACTGACGCGGGGAAACATCTTTATACATTTTTGTGTTTTCGGGGCGATCGTTTTTGACATCCTTGTGAAAACAAGAATGTTTGAACGATTTCGGCGCGCGCGCGCGACGGCGCGCGAACGCGCGCATCGCCCAGATTTGTCGCGCGGGTTTCTCGCGACAGCACGCGCGGGAGGATGTTCGAATGAGTTCGACGCGCGGCGCGAGAGACCCGCTTGGTAGCATTTTATGAAAACGTCAAAGTCTTACGGTTCCTCGAGAATTCGCAAAGGCGCGGGCGCCGGCTTGTTTTGAAACCTTCGTTGTGAAAACATGTATATATACATATATACATATATACATCGATATATCTAATATATGTATGTATGTATATATATATATATATATATGTTTTGATATTGTCGTGGCTCTCGATTTTGAATTCCACGCGAAACTAAAAAAATTGTTGGGGATTTCGGCACGCGCGCGCGCGACGACGCGCGAGCGCACTTCGTCTCGGTTTTTGCAGCGGAAAAAACATTCTTCTAACCTCGGACGGGGCGGGGCGGGCGGATGTGGGGGGGTAGGTCTCCGTGCTCTTTTAGAAAGGAGAATTGATTTTTACAAACGAGTTCACACTTTCCACGCGCTTGCAAACGCTCCGCCCACCCACCCGCAACTTGGTTTGCAAAAGCCATGCGGCGGCGATTGCGATGAGTGCTTGACGCTGGCTGGTGCATCTCTGCGGCCGTGCTGGCCCGCGCATGCTCGCGCGCGCAGCGGCCAGCTAGTTTGGCGCGTTCGACGCGGCCGCGGTGGCGCTGACCGCTGGGCGCTTCCCAGCGGGCGCATCGATGCGAGTCGGCGACTTGGGCGGGCGCGGCACCGCGGCGACGCCGACGGCGATTGGCGCGATGACGGGAGTAGCGATGACGGTGGCGATAACGGCGATGACAACGGCAAGGCCAATGACGGCGCCGATGTTGATTACGTCCGCGAATGACGATGACGACGTCCTCGCGTCGGCGATGAACTTTCCTGACGGAGCCCGACGCGCGCGCGGCCGACGCGCGCGAGTGGCCCGCGCGGCATCGTCGGGCGCCCCCCCTTTCCCGCCCCGCCCCCCCCCCCCAGCGCGCGCGCGCGGGGGCTCTCGAATGAGTGCGACGCGCGGCGCGAGAGGCCCGCTTAGCAAAATCTGATGAACATGTTGACCAACCTTTGGCTTGCTGAAGAATCCGCAAGACCGCGGGCGCGCTGTTCTGAAAACTGACGCGGGTAAACCACCACGTTTCTGCGTGCATTCGGAGCTCTCGTTTTTGATGCCCCCGCGGGGCCCAAGGTTCTCGGAGGATTCCGGCGCGCGCGCGCGCGACGGCGCGCGCGCGCGTGCACTTCTCCCCAGTAGTTGCAAAGGGTTATTGCGACAGCGCGCGCGCACAGGGCGCTCGAGCAATTCCAACGCGCGCGCGAGAGAGGCCCGCTTGGTACCGAGGTATGCACATGTTGAAAAGCTATGGTAGTTTATAGCTACTATAAGAGCTCGGGCGAAGGTTTTCTTTCTTTGAACACTGATTTTGCGAGAGCAACGTGTCATATGTGTTCGTGGCTCTCGATTTTGAAATCCTTGCGAAACGTTGGGTCGTTGAAAGATTTCGGCATGCGCGCGCGACGTCGCGCGCGCGTGCAGTTGGCCCATGCTTTTGCAATGGGCTCTTGAAAAATGATGTTTTGCAATAAACGAGTGCGCGCGCATAATGTTTCCGACCGGAGATGAAGAGGGGGGGGAACTCTGGCCTGGCTGGAACAGCATGGGTTCGTAAAGAAAATGAGCAAGCCAGGAAGCCAGGGGGCCCCGCCACCAAAAAGTAACGGAACGCATGCGAAACCAAGGAACGGCCGACACCTTTTCGAAAAGTAGATAGACTTTATTCAACGCCCCGAATGTAACGATGCTGGTGACGACGCTGACAACGACGGCGGCAAGGCCAGTGACGGCGCCGATGCTGATCACGCCGACGACGATGACGGCGTCCTCGCGTCGGTGATGAAAGTGTTGGAGGGAGTTCGACATGAGCGCGCGGCCAACGCGCGAAAGTGGCCCGCATGGTGTTATTTGATACGGATCGTGCCGCCCCCCAGCCCGCGCGCAAGGGCGTTCGAATGACTTTGACGTGCGGCGCTGGAGGCCCGCTTAGCCGAATGTAAAGAAATTCAGGAAAACAAAAATCGCAGCAGCGCGAGCGCAGGCATGTTTGAACACTGGTGTTGCAAAACCATGTTTTTTTGTATGATTCGGGGTACTCGATTTTGAAATCCCTACGGCACGCACGGCTTTTGAAGGATTTCGTCATGCTCGCGCGACGACGCGCACGTGCGCACTTCGTGTCTTTTTCTGCAAGGGGTTCTTGCGACAACATGCAGGCAAAAAGGCGATCGACCGATTCCGACACGCGCGCGCGGGAGGCTCGCTTGGTAACAAGCCATGGGGATGTTGAGAAACGCTTGTTTATATAAGAATTCGCAAGAGCCCGAGCGTAAACTTGTTTTGCGCACCTTTGTTGCGTAGCCACGTGTCTTCTATGTTTCCAAGGTGCTCCATTTTGCCATCCTGACGAAGCCTTCGGTTTTTGAAAGATGTTCGCATGAGCGCGCGCGCGACGGCGCGCGCGTGCACTTCGCACCGTTTTTTGCAAAGGATTCTTGCGACAGCACGCGCGCAAGGGCGTTCAAGCGATTCCGGCCCACTTGGTAGCAAGCTATGCACATGTTGAGAACTTATGGTTTTCTGAACAATAGCACGAGCGCAAGTTGTTGTTGGGGAGCTGTTGTTGCGAAGCCATGTGTTTTTTGTTCATCTATCCTTTCGAGACACTCGATTTTGAAATCCCTACGACACCTCAGGTTTTTTTTTTAAAAAAAAAAAAACAGATTTCGGCATGCGCTCGCGACGTCGCGCGCGTGTGTACATCGTCCCATTTGTTGCAAGGTACGTTTGGGAACTGATGAATTTTGATAAACGAATATGCGCGCATATGGTCTTTTTGCGAAGGATGAGGGGGGGATGCCTGTTTAGCTGGGATGATACGAGCTTATACTCAGGATGGACGATGGGGCACAATCATACGTCATACGTAAATTGCATTACGAAAGGGAATCCTGAAAATCCAGGGGTGTAGATCCTCATAATCTTCTACACAGGAGAATCCATGTGGTGCGGAATGTGGCCGCCAGACCGCCGCGCAGGCCCAGACGACGGGCGTCGACGAGGCGGCGACGGGGTAGCTTCGGCGGCCACATAGCCGCCAGACGGCCGCGCAGGCCCGGACGACGGGCGGCGACGAGGCGGCAACATAGCCGCCAGACTGACACCCAGGCCCAGCTCCTCAGAACACGAGCCCCTAGGTGCAACGGTAGAGGGAAACAATTAGTGAACACCCCCCCTGCCCCCCAAACTCAAAGTTGGCACGCGGGGGGGAGACTGCGGTCGAGGTGCAACTCATCAGACCCACCGCCAACTTTGAACATTGGGGGGAGGGGGAGGCGTTCACAGATGAATGTGGCATGAGTGTTCGCTAATTTTTCAGAGGCCTGAAGCACCCTTTGAGGAATTACAAGGATTAGCGCGTCCATATAGCGCGAGATACGCACACGTCCAATGCATGATCACACTCAGCAAAGACATCAGAAGAAGAATTTGCTCTGATGGTATTTCAGCCAGGCCTAAACGAATCAGCGCAGGCTCTGGAGACATCCGCCCTCGGCCTCCTCCTGTACAACCGCCGTCCACCGCGGCGCGCCCACGCATGCCTGCGCGAGCGGGGCCGAGAAGCAGAGGGGCCAGACCGAAGGCACCCCAGCAGGGTGAGCTCCTTTTTGCCTTGCCGTGCCACGGCCACGGGAGGTCCAAACCAACACTCCGCATCGTATCCTGTGGAACTCTTGGCGCACGCTGCTGGATGAGACGCGTGGGACCAAATTTAAAGGGGCCCCAGAACACACAAATAAATACACACAAATAAAAATATTCCCCATATTTCCCCATATTTTCTGGGTTTTTGTCTTCCCCCCACTTCCCATATTTTCGCATATTTTCCTGGGGATCGACGATTAATTGTGTCTGTGTGTTTTTTCCCCTCCTGAAAATTGAGCATCGTCAAACCGATCCCCATCCCCACGGGCGTGGGGGTGGGCCCCCGTGGCGGACGGAACCCCCGGGATCTGGGCAGGCCCCTCCGAGCTCCGAGGGGCACGCCCCCCCACCTGGGTTGGTGGAGCGGTGGGGATCGGCATGGGGATGGAGATGGGGCTGAGGATCAATCAAACGATACACCCTGCGAAATGCTTAAGAAATCATGGGTTGAGAAATTCACAGTCTCAGAACTTGAGTAGAAGCCCAGCATTTTCATCGAAATCTCAGGATTTACATGGAAACATTAAGAATCATCGAGACTCTGGCCGAAAACTTGGGTTTTCTTAAGCATCGCCTAAGGTGTACTGATAAATAGCGGGCGTCACGATGCTCGTGACCTCTTCCGTCGGGAGCGGCTCAGAAGGGGGGTGTCCAAGAGGGGGGGGGGGTGCAAATCATGACCGGCGGCATGTGCGCGGCCCAGCGGGGGGGCCAGGGACGTGACGAAATAAGAAGAGGCGCCATGAAATCCGGGGAAATATCATGGCCCCCGCCGTGGTATCCCCCCCCCCCCTACGGTAGAGGGAAACAATTAGTGAACACCCCCCCTGCCCCCCAAACTCAAAGTTGGCACGCGGGGGGGAGTCTGCGGTCGAGGTGCAACTCATCAGACCCACCGCCAACTTTGAACATCGGGGGGAGGGGGAGGCGTTCACAGATGAATGTGGCATGAGTGTTCGCTCACTTTTCCGAGGCCTGTGGGTCGTCACCCCCCCTCTTCCCAGACCCCCGACGTCATGATTTTTTCATGACGTCGACCCCCCGAGGTCTCGACCCATTCCCCGGGACCGGTTTTTCGTCCTGAGTCGTTTTTTGACGGTCCCGAGGGCCGGCAAGGGCCCCCAAAGCCCAAAAACAGAGGAAAACCTCCCGTCGTGATTTCTTCATAACTCGAGGGGGTCTGGGTCTTTGCCGCCCCCCGATCCCACCCGCCCGCCCGCCAGCGCCCGCCAGAGCCTCGGGGGGCGGGGGCGCGCAGGCGGCGCAGCCGCGCCGCCGCGCAGAGCACCGCCGCAGAGGGGCGCGCCGGCCTCTCCTCCGAGGCGAGGGGCGCCCAATGGGGGGGCAGCAGCCGCAGGGAAAAAAACGCTGCGGCGCGCGAGTTCTTCAAACGCTCCTTGACCTGCTCCGACCCCAACCCTCCGCCCGTGGCTCCGTCTTTGGAAGGGGGCCCTGGGACACGCAAACGAATATATATATATATATATATATATATATACATATATACATATATATACACACACATAGCGGGATTCCCCACAGATGCTCCCCCATCTTCGGGGTTTCTGGCTTCGCTTCCCCCCCACCTCCCGCATTTTCCGATCTCTTCGGGGCATCGACGGTGCACTGTGTCTGTGTGCTCCGCTCCCTCCTGAGTCCTCCCGGGCCTCCCCCCCATGCAGCGTTCCGATCAAGGCGCCTATCCGCCGGCCGTGCCGTGTGCAAGCTGAGGCGTGTGGACAGACTGCCGAGGGCTGTCCGGCCGACGATCTGCACTCGGACAAGGGAACCCCCCCCGCACACCTGGGCTCGCCGCCTCCCCCTCCCGAGGCCACGATCCGGGAAGGGGGCAAACAAGTGGAACCCCTTCGTCTTCGGCCCCGCATTCGGCCCCTCCCCCCCCCCCTCCCCTCCCCCCCCTCCCCCCCTCCCCCTCCCCTCCCCCTCCCCCCTCCCCTCCCCCCCGCATTCCGCCCCCCCTCCCCTCCCCCCAGTTTCAGAGGTGTGCTCGGCCCCTCGGAGGCCCTGGGGGGTTCCACTCTTTTTGCTGTCCTCTCACGCCCGTGCTGCCAAGTGTAGGGTTCCACTCGTTTGTCCACCTGCGGTCCCTGGTAACAAAAACAAAATGGGCCCGCGCTCCCGAGGCCGCGATCTCCTGTGAAAAAAAACGGTGGGTCCGCGCCCCTGGCTTCCAAGACAGCCAATGCAGGCAACAACAAAAACATCCAGATGGCACAATATGTCTCGAAGACGACCCAAGACGGCCCCCAACCCAATATGGCCTTAAGACCGCCCTAGATGCCTCCGAGAGGGCCCAAAAGGACCACAAAGGACCTCCAACAGAGTCAGAGGAAGCCGAACTCATTGGTTTCCCTGAGCTCGTGCGTGATTCATGTTCGCGGTCTCGCATCTCGGGCTTCTGCCGGCTCACGACGGCCCGAGAAACCTTCACGATAGCCCGAGACGGCCCAAGAAGCCCCTAAGAGGGAGGAGGGAGGAGGGAGGAGGGAGATGGCCCAGGATGCATCCAAAACTGTCCCAAGACGGCCGAAGAGGGCTTCCCGAGGGACCCCATGCGGCCTCAGAGGTCTTCTCGACTGCCCAGGACGACCCCGCGACGGCCCCCAGGCACTCACCGTGCGGCCAAGAGGACCACAAGACCCCAAAACGGCCTAAGAGAGCCCCAAGATTGCGCACGAGGGTCCCGAAATGGCCCAAGAGGGCCCCAATGGAGCCCCAAGACTGCCTCGCAGGAGGCCAAGACGGTCCCAAGACGGCCCAAACGAGTTCCATGAGAGCTCGAAGATGCAAGGTGACACATGTAACGGCCTTCCTCTTCCTCCTCCTCCTCCTCCGCCTCCTCCAACTGCTCTTACTCCTCCCCCTCCTCATCATCATCACCACCACCATCCCCTTCCTCCCCCTCCTCCTCCTCCTCCTACTTATTCGTATCATCAGCGTCATCACCGCTACCACATCAACATCATCATCATCATCATCATCATCATCATCATCATCATCATCATCATCATCATCATCATCAGCATCATCATCATCATCATCATCATCATCATCATCGTCATCATCATCATTATCATCATCATCATCATCATCACCACCATCATCATCATCATCATCACCACCATCACCATCACCATCACCATCACCATCATCATCATCATCATCACCACCATCACTATCACTATCACCATCACCATCTGCATCACCATCAGCAGCCTCAGCAGCAACGCTACCATCATCAAAACCAACACCACCAACATCATCAACAACATCAACATCAACGGCAACATCAACATCAACATCATCATCATCATCATCATCATCATCATCATCATCAGCATCATCATCATCATCAACATCACCAACGTCATCATCATCAACAACAATGTCATCATCATAATCATCATCATCATCATCATCATCATCATCAGCAGCATCGTCATCCTAATCCTCATCCTCCTTCTCCTCCAGCTCCTCATCGTCATCACCATCATCATCATGGTTCTCCCCCCCTCGAACAATCGCAAGCCGGAATGCTGGGCTGGAACGGCGGCGGGACTTGCCGCAGGCAGCTGGGTGTACAGGGAGATAGAGAAACAGAGTGCGGGAGAGAAAGAACAAAATAAGAAGAAAAGGAGAGAGAACGTCGATGCGTGAGAACGGGCCGAATACTGCGCACTGCTTTGAACACAAAACCTTGCGAGGCGTCGTGAACAGCTCCTGCGCTCGTTCCAACCATTAAAGCATGCATCGCGCTTCCAATAAACATTACGAATCCTCGATGAAAAATATTTCTTAGCCCCGCCTGGACTGACAACGGGCCGAATACTGCGCACTGCTTTGAACACAAAACCTTGCGAGGCGTCGTGAACAGCCCCTGCGCTCGTTCCAACCACTAAAGCATGCATCGCGCTTCTGGCAAACACTACGAACCCTCGATGAAAAATATGTCCTGGCCCCGCCTGGACTGCTTTGCCACAGGAAGCCGCGCCACCACTTGGCTCACGAGTGCGAATGCACTCAAACGAAGAGCAGGAACTGCTGATGCCCACTACGCCATCATCTGGGAAGGCGCGTTCTGCTAATCACCAGATAGGTCGCTTCCCAGCAAGAGGACGTCGGACTTCCAGGCCTTCACCATGCCCCTCGCCCCCGAGAGCAAGGTCGACACTTGGAGCAGCACGTTCCTCATGCAGCCGCCGGCCAGCTCCTCGATCTGGCAGAGCTTCTCCCCGCCCAGGGTGACGAACTTGATCGACGTGCCATCGAGCACTGCCTGCAGAACTAGGGCCGGCAACGTGCATGAACATGACGGGGGTGCTACGTAGCAAAGGTGCCTAAGGTCCAATGCAGGCCACCCCGTCCGATGCTGCAGCCATGGTACATTGAGCTGGCCGAACTCATTGTCACCACAGGCCACAGCTGTCCCATCGCTTCGAAGCAAGAGCGTGTGCTGGAATCCTGCAGCAGCGTGAATGTAAGTCAAGCCGTCGTCCAACGCTGGAATGTCGCACTGTCCGAGGCGATTGTCCCCGCATGCCACACACGCTCCGTCGCTCCTTATCAGAACCGTATGACGGAAACCTGCAGCTACCTGTGTGTACGTTGCACTTCCATCCAGAGCTGGAAGACTACACTGTCCGAAATGATTCTTGCCACAAGCCACAGCTACACCATCGCTTCGGAGCAGAACTGTGTGACTGTCTCCCGCAACAACTTGAGTGTATGCGAGGCCTCCAGGAAGAACTGGAATATCACACTTTTCCTGGTCCATGTCACCGCAAGCCACGGCTGAACCATCACTTCTGAGCATGACAGTGTGGAAGAATCCTGCAGCCACTTGCGTGTACTTGAGACCATCATCCAAGGCTGGAATGTTACACTGTCCAAAGTGATTGTCTCCAAGTGCCACAACTGCGCCATCGCTTGTGAGCAGAAGCGTATGGTTGTCTCCTGCAGCCACTTGTGTGTACCTCAAGCCTGCATCAGGGGGTGGAACGTCACACTTACCACACGGATTACTCCCACGAGCCACCACTGTGCCATCACTCTTGAGCAGAATTGTGCACCCGAATCCTGCAGCTACCTGCGTGTAGGTCATACCTGCTTCTAGCGCTGGAATGTCGCACTGTCCGGAACGATTGTCGCCAAATGCCACTGCTCGACCATCACTCTTGATCAGACTTGTGTGATAAAATCCAGCTGCAACCATACCTACCAACAACTTGGAACGTACTGCTTGATGAGGCGAGAGCCTTCCTTTGTCGAATTAATGAAACAATTCAGCAGGCCTGTGAAAGGGACCTCAGCCACAATTGCTTGAGCCGGTGATGGTAACGACTGTGCCGATGAGAACGATGAGGAGGTGTGCACCCGCAGAAATTCAAGCATCTGGACATCCGTTTATTAAAAACCTTCCGATGTTCGTATGTGTTCGAAGGCATCGTAGGGGGAGGAGGAGGAGGAGGAGGAGGAGGAGGAGGAGGAAGTGGAGAAATAATGAGAAAACAAATGGTTTCAGAACGGTTTCGACGTGCGCGTCGCGGACGGGCGCCTGGGGCCCGCATGGTATAGCTTGACGCGAGAGTCGGTGGGCGCGCGCTGGCGGTTGAACGTTTTCGACATGCGCGCGCAGATGGCCCGCATGATCTCCTTTGCCAGAACGGCTATACACCGATTGATTTCTTTTCCTCAAGCTAGGCGCGGCCACCATTCGACATACCTGAGACGGACTATCCTTTTTGCTGAGGACGCGTCCTTACACAGGACGAGGTGCACTTGAGATTCTATAATGCTGAGCTTGCGTGGCAGCTATTGGGAAAAGGACCCGGGCCCGGATCAAATTACGAGAAAAGACTGCGCAGCATTGGCTCCCCAGGGTGGGTAGGGAGGGAAGCCTTGAAACCAGAATGGCCGCGAGAGGGGAGAGCAGCAGCAGGGGCGACAAGCAGAGGAGAAAGAAGGAAGGGGTGGAGCCCCTCTCGCTCGGCCGCTCGACGCGGAGGAAAACTGCATCCAAAGGTAATCATTCCTCAAGCTAGGCGCGGCCACCATTCGACATACCTGAGACGGACGATCCTTTTTGCTGAGGACGCGTCCTTACACAGGACGAGGTGCACTTGAGATTCTATAATGCTGAGCTTGCGTGGCAGCTATTGGGAAAAGGACCCGGGCCCGGATCAAATTACCAGAAAAGACTGCGTAGCATCGGCTCCCACCCCCAAATCATTTGTCATTGGGTGGGCGGGTTGGGAAGAAAAAAGAGCAAGGAAGAATATTAGCTGGGCACCCGACTCGAACAGGCCACGCGAGAGACGAGGTGCCGCAGGTCCGCCGCCGAGAAATGGGCAGCACGTTGGCGGACGGCGGCGGGCACGGCCGCACGTTGACGCAAGAGAGAGCCGTGCTTTTCATAGATGCGCACCGACTCTCGGGCGAGCCATCTTCCTCGCTGCTGGTTCTGATCCAGGCTGCGCAATTGCTCCAAGGCATCGTGCGAGGGGCCTCCGTGCCGAAGCTGGTGAGGCACAGAGAAAACGTGGCAAAGGCCTAAGTCGGAGGCCACCCCTCGCACCATTCTCTCGTATGCACTAAGATTCAGAGGAGCAAAAAGCTTGGCTGCGTCTGCTCGGCCCCTACGAAGGGCAAGCAGCGCAGCCGGAACCTGACGCCTGAGAGGGGCAGGCGTGCCAGCAACGACAGTGCGGTCGAACTCATTCGTCTTGGAGGGCACTCCGCCTGTGAGAGGCGCGATGATGACGGAGACCTGGCCCCCTGCGCTCCCGTGGACGTCGCCCGCCGTGATGGAGAGCACCTCGCTGGGCCCTGGGCCGCAAGTACAGATCAAACTGGACGATCATGGCCACGGCAGCGAGGGCCCCCAGAGGCGAGCGCTCCGAGAGGGCCGCCATGCAGGCGACCACGGCGTCGAAGGGGGCGGGCGTCCTAGGATGTCGAGGCAGCTTGGCACACCAGCCCGCCAGGGCGTCCTTGGATCGCACGAATTGGAGGCTTGGCCACTGCCCATCCACGTAGCCGGGCAAGGCCGTAGCGAGCGTTGCGAGCCATATACTGAGGTGAACCAGAGAAGAAGAGGTGCTCGATGTACAGGTTCATTGTCGTGTCGGCGCACTTGGGGTCGTCAAAGAGAAGACGCCTGCGCCGTGCCCAGGCCTCGAAGTCGGCGACCGCCTGCTGATACTTTTGCCAGGGTCGCTGGCCGCAACGAGGCCGTGCGTAGGAAATCTCCCGGAGGCACTCGACGGGCTTGCCGCTGCTGCTCGGCGCGGTCCACGGCCGCCGCCGCTCGCCTGCGGCGCTCCGCCGCCAGTGCCCGGCGGCCCCGCGCCTGGCCTCCGCCTGGGGGCGGGGCGGCGCCGCGAGGCCCGCCCGCCGCCCGCGGGGCGGGGGCGCGGGTCGAGCGCGGAGGCCCAGGCGGCTCGCCAAGGGAGCCTGAACCTCTGCGGGCAGAGCGGGAGCCCTGGGGCGCGGAGGCGGACCTCGCCCGACGCGGCTGCCGGGACCCCATCCCAAGTCGCGAGGTCTCTGGGCGTGGCTCGGCCATAGGCGGACCTCGGGGCGGAGAGGGAGGCGATGCGCACGAGCTCTCGGCACCACTCTGGGAGGTACGCGCCAGCCAAGGTAGTCCGCCAAACCCAACCTCTCGTCGGATGTCGGACTTTGCCCTGAAGAACCTCGCGATGCGGCTGGCAGCACTGGCAGCGGCGGCCCAGCAGCTCTAGGTTCGGGAGGGTGCCGGCGATCGCCCCCGGCTTCTTGAAGGGCGCCCCGAAGCGGCAGGAATCGTACTTGATCCTGCCGGGCCTGTGGTAGCGGAGCTCCCTCTCCAGGGGACGCCAGCGCCAAACACGGCTGGGGCCAGGGTTCTCGAGGAAGACGAAAATGTCGAGCTTCCTGCAGAGCTTGAGCACCCGCACGGCGAAACTGACAAGAGCGAGGTCTGCCGGCCGAGGGGGCCGGTTGCCCCCGGCCGGCACCCAGTGGGCACACGGAAGGCCGATATGTATGCACCAAAAACGGCGCTGGGTAATCCAAGCCAAGACAGCGTTACGGACTCCAGGATGCGTGAGGTCGTGATGCTTGCCGTGTGTAATGTCCAGAGGGCATGCGATGCGAAGACCGGCCTCGTGGAAGGCCCCCGATAGGTTCGCGCCTCCGGCAAATAATTCCAGGAAGCTAGTACGCCCAGTACGGTGGCCCCGCGGGGCCGTAGACGAAGACCCCGAGGAGCACCACTTGCGAGGCCCGCTGCAAGCCCGAGGAGGAGCTGAAGAACTTGATGACCCAGTTTGGGGACCTTGACTTGGCGTTGCTGCCGATGGCCTGGCCCGCGACGCCCAAGAAGCCGAGGAAGCCGGGGGCCCAGCCAGGGGTCGCTGATGAGCCGATGCCGTTCGAGTCCCAATATGAGGCCAGTGACCCGACGTAGAGCTTGATGACCCGATCTGTGAACGATAACCTGTAAATGGTGTCGATGAAGTAGAGCACGATGGAGGATTGGAAGGACAGGATGGGAGCACCGACTCAGCTGGGGTGGTAGAGAGGATGATCCCTTGTGCGAGGTCCTCGCTCCACTGTCCAGTGCAACCGATAGGTTTCTCCCCAAGCCCTGGCGGCTCGGAGGCGCGGCTCGAGGTAGGCCGAGTCGCGAAGGCGACGCTGGCGACGGGGCAGGGCCCGGGCACGTCAGGCCCGGGGCCGGGCAAGCTGCCGCTGGGCCTCAGGACGGGCGCGCACCTGCTGGGTGCCGGCGCGCAGGCCCTGAAGCCGGCACCGCGGATCCAGCCAGGCAGAAGCTCGCGGCGGTCGGCGGCCCGGCTCCCCCAGTCGGCAACGTTCACACATCCTGGAACGTGTCGCACTCGCCAGGTGATCTCTGCACCCAGCTGCAGGGCGCCAGCACGACGACATTGGGCGAGGAGCTCTCGGTTGCTGGCACGGCCCTTCTCGAAAGACAGCACGCTGGAGAGGTTGTCAGAGAGGCTCAGGAGCTCGGTCCCATGGCAGTTGGCCTGCCGGGCGGCAGCCCCCAGACCGATCACCGAGGCCCGCGCCTCCAGGCTGTGGATGCGGAATGGATGGCGCCAGGCGCCACGGAAAGCCTCGGCCCACCGCTGCGGGTCGACCAGCTCGGGCGGCAGCGGGGGCGGGGGGTGGCCCACCTCCATCTCCTGACGACGGCGGCGGGCTCGCGCCTGTCGGCGGGGCCGGCCCGCGCCTGCATCGCCGAGCTCATCGTAGTACAGGTCGGGGACGTCGTCCAGCCCTGCAGCGCGGCCCAGGTAGGCGCCCCTGTCGGGGTCGCCCGAGACCTCGACCTCCATGAAGCTTGCCTCTCGCGCCACCGCGACACGCCAAGGACCTCGTGCCCCAAGAGCTCGGCCTCGCAGACGGCGTAGCCCAGCATTGAGCTGTCCGTGGTAAAAGACACTGGCGCAGGGGGTCGGCGCAGGTCCACCTGGCCAAGAAAAACGAGGCCAGCGGCGCAGCGAAGCTCCGTCACCACGCTGGGCGGCAAACGCGAGACGCCCTCCATCGGGCCAGACTCGAGGTAGGCGTAGCACTCGCCCAGTACACTGAGGGCAGGTCGCATGATGCTGAAGTAGTGCACGATGTGTCCCAACAACCTCCTGACCTGCCAGCGGGCCAGCCACGGCCTGCGTAGAACCTCGTGTAAACCAAGGTACAGGCGCCAGGCTCGCCGAGAGGTGTGGCGAAGGCGCCCGTGCCGCCCGTCGAACTCGAGACCGAGGATACCCTGAGACAAGGTGGCATGCTGCAACTCGTGCCAGCGCAGCCCCCTCTTGTCCAGCTCGTCCGTCACGGCGCCGAGGCGCTGGTCGAGCTGGGCGGCGTCCAGGGAGATGAGGTTCGCGTTGTCGACGCAGGGTGCGTGGGCGACCCCCCCGTTCAGTAGGGGGGGCGGCTTGCCCTTGTCGAGGCACCAGGAGTCCTTCTCCCCGAAGACGGCACTCATGGTGTCGATCAGGACCTCCTGGCAGATCCACAAGGCCCAGGACCATCCCATGGGAAGGGCCTCGAAGCAGGGCCAGACCCGAGAGTCTGGGCTGATGTCGATGTAGCGGCCGAGGTCCTCGTCGTACAGCTGAGTCAACCCCAGCTCGCCAGCGGACACCTCGATGTCGAAGCACATCCAGGAGCCCCAGGCCGGGTGGCGGAACTGGTAGAAGCCGTCCTGCAGGTCCACCGAGCCGGCCACCAGGTCGCCCCCGTTGATCACGATGTCGAGGTCGTCGGGGCCGAGGTCGGTGGCGTCCACGAGGTTGATGGCCGCGAGTGCCTCTCCTGAGGCCAGCGCGGT